AAAGAACTTTATTACAGCACAGCAAGAGTCATTAGTATTAGCATATTGTTTTTTAGTTTCACACACCTCCAAATATTATAGGGAGATATGACATGGGCCCATGTAGATGAGAAGTGTGCAGAGAAATTGCATGGCAGGTAAGGAACCTTGAGCTTGAGGAAACTACCACTTTTGTAGTGACAGTAAACAAGTCTGCTCTTTGTCTGCAGGATGATGTTACTGTATCTCTCAAGATTTCTTGCCAAATATAACAGCAAACCAGGGCCTTGCATTATTGGCCTGCCCTGAAAGAACATGTAGGGTTACTTGGGGCTCATGGTAGATTGCTGCTTTATGGAGGAAGAGGGAGGCCAAAGTTGTCTCTGAGATAATTTCTCTTAAATAACTTTACTGAGGTACAATTGGCATACAGTAAGCAGTACATATTGAAAGTATACAATTCGATATGTTTTGACATATGAGTGCACCCTTGAAATCACAACCATCAATAGACTAACATATTCATCACTCCCAAGTTTCCTTGTTTGGCTTTGTAATTAGTCTCTCCACTATCTCCCTCCCCCATCATCAGACAAACACTGATCTGCTTTTAGTTACTATATGGTAGTTTGTAGCTCCCAAAATTTTGTACAAATTGAATGATTAGGATATACTTATTTGTTTGGCTTCTTTCATGCATCATGATTTTCCTGATATTCAACTGTACTGTAGTATGTTTTTGTTGCTGCACAATATTCCATTGCATGGATATATTAGTTTGTTCATGCATTAGCCTGTTGATGGACATTGGGTTGTTACCAGTTTTTGCTACTATAAATAAAGATACTGTGAATGCTCAGGTACAATTCCTTGTATGGACATATACTCTTATGTTTATTGGATAAATATCTAGAAGCAGAATAATGTAACAATATGTTAGTTATATAGTTAACATTTTAATGAAATTTTAAATTATTTTGCAAAATGAGTATACAATTTTTTATTTCCACAAGCTATACAAGAGTTCTAGTTCCTTTATCCTTGCCAATATATGATAGGACCATTTTTTTTGGAAACTGAGTCTTACTGTGTTGCCCAGGCTGGAGTACAATGGCATGTTCTCAGCTCACCAAAACCTCCGCCTCCCGGGTTCAAGCGATTCTCGTGTGTCAGCCTGCCAAGTAGCTGGGATTACAGGTGTGCACCACCACACCCAGCTAAATTGTGTATTTTTATTACAGCTGGGTATCACCATGTTGACCAGGCTAGTCTGAATCTCCCAACCTCAGGTGTTCCACCCACCTCAGCCTCCCAAAATTCTGGGATTACAGGCACAAGCCACCTCATTCAGCTGTGATGTAGTCACTCTTTTTAATTTTAGTCATTTGAACAGTTATGTAGTGGTATCTCGTTGTGGTTTTAATTTGCATTTTCCTGTTGACTAAAAGATGTTGAGTATTTTTTCATGTGTTTATTTGCCATTCATATACCTTCTTTGATAAAGGTACCATTTTTTAAATGAGGCCATTGCTATTGAGACTTGAGAGTTCTTCATGTGTTCTAGATACAAGTACTTTATCAGATATATAGGAAATTGATTTTGCCTTCCTAGGGCATGTATTTTCATTTTCTTAGCTATATTTTTTGAAGAGCAGATGCTTTCCTATATCAGTTTCTTCTTTTATGGACCATACTTTTGGTTTTATATCATGTCTAACTCATGGACAGAAAAGTACCCTCAGATGTTTTCTTTCAGAATATTTAATCTTTTTTGAGTTAATTTTTATATAAGTTACAGAGTGTAGATTAAAGAGGCTATTTTTCCATATAGTTATTCAATTGTACATCATCATTTGTTGAACTCTACCCTGTGTCCACTAAATTGTGTTTTCACCTTTGTCAAAATTCAGTCTCCTAGATATGTGTGGGTCCATTTTTGTAGTCTCTATTCTGCACCATTAATCTTTGTGTCTGTCTTTACCCCAGTACCAGTGTATTAATTGTTATAGTTCTATATGTATTGAAATCAGGTTGTATTAGTACTCCAACGTTGTTCTTTTTCAAAGTTGCTCTGAATATTTTGGGTTCTTAGCCTTTTAATATGATTTTTGGATCTTTTTAAAATTTCTACAAAAATAAAGCTTGCATTCATTTTAAATGAGATAACATTTAATATGTAGATTTAGGGATAATTTACATTAAACAGTATTGAATCTTTGAACTATGAATGTTATCTCTCTCCATTTATGTAGGTCTTCTTTATCAGCATTCTTTTTACAGTTTTCAGTGTGCAAATAGTTTCCATTTTGTCAGATATATCTAAGTACTTCATATTTTTGTGCTAAATTGTATTCTTTTAAAATTTCAACTTCTGATTGCTCATTGGTAGTATATAGGCATATTAGTGAGTTTTGCACATTAATCTTATATCTTGCAACTTTGGTAAATTCAGTTATTATGTTAACTAGTAGCTTTTCTGATAGATTTCATCAGATTTTCTATACAGATGATTATGTATTGTCTAAAGTGACTGTGTGCCTTTCCAGTCTGAATGTCTTATTTATTTAGGTCTCATTACACTGGCTAGAACCTCCAGGATATGTTGACTAGAAGTAGTGAAAGCTAACATTGCTATCTTGTTGCTGATTTTTGAGCCAAAGCATTACTTTTTCTCTTAAGTATTCAGTTAGCCATAGTTTTTCATAGATGCCTTTTATTGGGTTAAGGGTGTGTTCCTTTCTGTTCCTAGTTGACTGAGAGGTTTTATTAGGAGTGAATGTTAGATTTTTTTCAAATGCTTTTTCTTCTTTTTTATTTTGAGACGGAGTTTCGCTCGTTACCCAGGCTGGAGTGCAATGGCGCCATCCTGGCTCACCGCAACCTCCGCCTCCTGGGTTTAGGCAATTCTCCTGCCTCAGCCTCCTGGGTAGCTGGGATTACAGGCATGTGCCACCGTGCCCAGCTAATTTTTTGTATTTTTAGTAGAGACGGGGTTTCACCATGTTGACCAGGATGGTCTCGATCTCTTGACCTCGTGATCCACCCGCCTCGGCCTCCCAAACTGCTGGGATTACAGGCTTGAGCCACCGCGCCCGGCCGCTTTTTCTTCTTTTATTGAAAAGAGCATATGCTTTTTCTTTTGAGTTTGTTAACACGATGAATCACATTGACTGATTTTTAAATCATTAAGCTGGCCAGTATGTTGGCTCATAGACAAACTATGAATTTCTGACACAGATCTCCTTGGTTATGATATATTATTCTTTTTATATATTGATTGGCTAGATTTGATGAAATTTTGGTTATAATTTTTACATCTACATAAGGAATATTGTTTTGTAGTTTGTTTTTTTTTTTAATATATCTGGTTTTTATATCAGGACAGTGCTGGCCTCAAAATGAGTTAGGAATTTGTATAGAATTGGTTTTATTTATTTCTTAAATTGCTTGATAAAAATCACCACTGAAGTCATCTAAGCCTGCAGTTTTTCTTTGTGGAAAGATTTTTGACTAAAAGAATCAATAGGCATGGTGCTATTCAGTCTATTCATTTCTTCTTGAGTGAGCTTTGGCAGTTTGTATCTTTCAAGGAATTTGTGTATTTTATGAAAGTTTTCAAGTTTATTTACATAAAGTTGTTTATAATTCCTTTATTACCTTTTAGTATCTGCAGAATATTTTGTAATGGTAATGAGATCTCCGTTATTCTTAACGTGGCTAATTTGTTTGTCCTCTTTTTACCTAATTCATCTGGCTAGAAGTTTGTCAATTTTACTTATCTTTTCAAAGAGCCAGTTCTTGGTTTCAGTGTTTCTTGTTTTCATTTTCTGGCTCACTGATACCTGTTCAGAGCTTTATTATTTTATTTCTTCGCTTTACTTTGGTTTTTATTTCCCCTTCTTTTTCCATGTTCTTAAAATGAAAGTTGAGGTCATTGCTTTGAGACTTTCTCTCGTTTCAAATGTAAGGATTTGTATACATTTCCCCCAAGTACTCCTTTGGTGACATCCCACAAATTTTGTTTGATATGTTGTGTTATAATTTTCATTCAGTTCAAAATACTTCCAGTTTCCCTTTTGATTTCTTTTTTGATTCATGGGTTATTTAGAGGCATTGTATAGTTCCAAGTATTTGAGGATTCTTTTTGGATATCTTTTTGTTACTGATTTCTAATCTGAAAGTATTTTGGTTAGAGAACAAGCTTTGTATGGCTTGAAGCCTTTTAAACGTATTGAGACCTGTTTAATGGAACCAAATATTGTCGATCTTGGTCAATATTCCATGCTCACTTAAAAAGAATATGTGTTTGTTGTTTTGCATGAATTACGGTATGAATTTAAAGTAAGTCAATTGGGTGTTAGCACTGTTCAGTTTTTTATGTCCCAATTTTCTGTGTACTTATTGTTTTGATTCTTGGAAAAGGGAGGAATTGAAATCTTCAACTATAGTTGTGAGTTTTTCTTTTTCTTTTTCTTTTTTAATTTTTTTTTTCTGAGATGGAGTCTCACTCTGTTGCCCAGGCTAGAGTGCAGTGGTACAGTCTTGGCTCACTGCAACCTCTCCCTCCCTCCCTGCTCCAAGCAATTCCCCTGCCTCAGCTTCCCTAATAGCTGGGATTACAGGTGCACACCACCATGCCTGGCTAATTTTTTTGTATATTTAGGAGAGACGGGGTTTCACCATGTTGGCCAGACTGGTCTGAAACTCCTGACCTCAGGCAGTCTGCCCGCCTTAGCCTCCTAAAGTGCTGGGATTACAGATGTGGGCCACTGCGCCTGGACTTTTCTATTTTTTTAATGTAGATTCGGTTTCAAAATATATGACCTACATATCAAATGCAGTGAATAGAGAAAGTGAAAAATTATTATTACTAGCATTATTATAAAAGGTCTCATTAGGACACATCTTTGGTTTGCCCTATAGTATGCGTTATTTGGAACATCATCTTCACATGCAAAAGAAACATTTACCTAATTCTGTTGTTTTATCATTTATCTAATTCATGTTGTTTTGCTTGGCAGCTTCTATGTTTTTGAAGCAGGCATTTGAGGGAGAATACCCCAAATTATTACGTCTTTATAATGACTTATGGAAGCGTCTTCAACAATATGGTCAGAATATCCAAGGGAATTTTAATGCCAGTGGAACTACAGACCTCTGTGTTGACCTACAACTCATGGAAGATGATGCACAAGATATATTCGTACCAAAAAAAGCCGGATTATGAGTATGTTTGTTTAATTTGACCTGTTAGTTGGCATCTTAAGGATTTTTATCTTTTATTTTTAATTATAAACCGAGTATACACCAAGTCTCTAAATGTTTGTAATTTGTTTGTATACCTTAAAAGAATTTGCAGTACTTTTAACTGAAGAAGTCAGTCTTCCACCTTAGTGAGCACTTCTACTTAATGTTACACTTTAAAATTGACTTCCTGCTGGAGTCAGTCTTTTAGCTAGAAGATGATCATGTTGTGGTCATTGTATTTTAATAGATGCTATAATGTACCTCTAATTACCTTAGATGTTATAATTATACCTGTATCATGTATTGATGGACTGCTGGCATAAATGTTACATAAAAGGAACTGGGGTATTCAGAAAATACAGGGGAGGTAAATCTTATGGTGGTATAGGTTCTTAGTCAATGTGTTAAGAAAAAGCAGAGTAGAGTCATCCGTTGGTATTTATAGGGGATTGGTTCCAAGACCCATTGGGAAGCTCAAGTTTCTTATGTAAATTGACATAATATTTGCATTTAACCTATGCACATCATCTCTCAGTTACCTATAAAACCTAATACAATGTAAATGTTATACTATACTATATTGCTTAGGGAATAAGAAAAAATATGCATAAATGTTTCATTACAGCCACAACCATTGTGGGCCTAATAGGTTTACAATTCATGGTTGGTTTAATCTTTGGATGTGGAATTTGCAGAAATGGAGGTCCAACTGTTTATATTATTTAAATTATAAACCAAGTACACACCAAGTCTCTAAATGTTTGTAATAGTCAAAATTACCCCTGAAAATCTCTTAGGCCACCCATAAAGTATAGTAGCATAGCCATATTTAGGAGCCATACTGGAAACCAGTGTACCGTCTCAGCAAGTTTAGCCCACCCAGCTTTTCCTCCAAAATTGAAAGAGTATTTTACACTTTCAGTTTGAGCATTGGATCAGGTGATTGGCTTTCACACCTTTCTTTAAAGACTAGAAACATATTTATTATGTCAAGGCCTGCTAAAGCAGTAGCAGTTCCTTATCACCTACCTTGTAAGAAAAATGTTGGATAGACGCATGAGTGCTGTTTAAATAGTTGTTTCTCTTTTAATTTTATTCCTAAATACATACAGTTGAATTTGTGTCCAGTATAGTTAGAAGTTCTGTCTGGCAGAATGCAGTATATAGAAGTTCTGACTAGTGCTGGGCAGAGTGACACATGCTTGTAATCCCAGCTACTTGGAAGACTCTCTTGAGCCTATCCGGGCAACATAGTAAGACCCTGTCTTTCTTTTAAAAAAAAGGAGTAGTTTTGACTGGCAAAAGAGACCAGTTTATCTTCTTAATAACTCTTTTATATAGGCAGATTCAGTTAGGCCTGATAGGGCAAAAGAGGACAGAACCTATATCTGTTGATCTTCAAAGATTTAATGATATGTCACAGTTTTTCAAAGTATCTATAAAATAGCAAATATAGTATAATTCTATTTATGGCTTAGTTTTATTTTTAAATCTATATGCATGCACTAAGAAAGGTCTAGAAATACACAAAGCAAACAGTAACAGTAGTTGGTTTCCAGGAGGTAGAATCCTCATTTTGAGTTTTCTGCTTTTATATAAAATGAATATATGTTACTTATGTTTAAAAAAAAAGAAGGAAGGAAAAGGAAGGGAAGGGAGAGGGAAGGGGGTGGAAAGGGAAAAGGGAAGGGAAGAGGGAGGGGAGAAAAGAAAGAAAACCAGGTGTGGTAGCTCATGCCTGTAATCCCAGCACTTTAAGAGTCCAAGGTGGGAGGATCACCTGAGGTCAGGAGTTGGAGACCAGTCTGGCCAAAATGGTGAAACATCATCTCTACTAAAAATACAAAAAATTAGCCAGGTGTGATGGCCCACACCTGTTATCCCAGCTACTTGGGAGGCTGAGGCAACAGAATGGCTTGAACCTGGGTGGTGGAGGTTGCAGTGAACTGAGATCGTCCCACTGCCCTCCAGCCTGGGTGATAAAGCAAGACTCAGTCTTAAAAAACAAGTAAATTCAATGGAGGGAAAACAAATTAGAGTGCAAAAAGCCACAGTGTTTTCACTAGTAGGATGTTGTGGTCACTTTTTGGAGATGAATTCAATGAAGTGGTTGGTAAGGAAAATGAGATGTAAGAGCCATATTTCAAGATGTCAAAAAACGATGAGGGTACAAGGACACAAACACAAGGAAGAGTTGAGTTTTCATGGATGGAAGTAGCCAGTGGAGAAAAAAGAGATGGGAAATGTTAGAAAGAAAAGAGAAGAGAATCAAAGCATGAATAGCAAGGGTTATCATTTTTCATGATTCTTTACTAGTGTCAAAATTTCAGTAGTGATAATTGCTATGAAGAAAGTAAAATAATACTATAGAGTTGCTTACTATATAGAATGTCAGAGAAAGCTTCTATGAAGAGGTAATATTTGACCTGAGATCTAAATAGTGTGAAAGAGTCAGCCATGGGAAATTTAGCATAAGGTTTTTGCAGGCAGAAGAACAAATTTCGAGGCCTTAAGAAAATTAAGGCTGGGTGCAGTGGCTCACACATGTATCCAAGCACTTTGAGAGGCTGAGGCAGGTGGATCACTTGAGGTTAGGAGTTTGAGACTAGCCTGGCCAACATGATGAAATCCTGTCTCTACTTAAAACAAAACAAAACAAAAATTAGCTGGGCGTGGTGGCACATGCCTATAATTCCAGCTACTCAGGAGGCTGAGGCAGGAGAACTGCATGAACCCAGGATGTGGAGGTTGTAGTGAGCCCAGATCACGCCACTGTGCTCCAGCCTGGGCAACAGAGCAAAATTCCATCTCAAAAAAGAAAAAAGAAAGAAAGAAAAGAAAAGAAAATTAAGATGAGGAGGTTTGAAGAACAGAAAGAAGCCAGTGTAGCTGGAACATAATGAATGAAGAAGGGAAGTGTTTAAGATTAGATCAGAAAGGAAAGGAAATGTGAGATCACGTAGAGCTTTATAGGTGATGGTAAAGGGATTGGGAGTTTATCCTAATAAAGTGAGAAATCATTGATTTAGAGGAATGATGTGAACTGATAAACATTTTAAAATTAGCACTCTGACTGCTATGTAGACAACTAAGGGAGGTCAGCACAGAGTTGGGAAAGTGAAAGATGGAAGTTATTTTGTTTATCCAGATAAGAGATGATAATGATTTGAACTGGGGTGAGCAGATGAGGTGCTAATTTGGTCAGATTGAGTCAACATATATTTTGAAGCAGGATATATAGACGGCAAGCCATGGATTTGAGACGACAGGGGAATCAAGGATATTAACTAGGTGGTGGAAAATTGACTGGTTAAGATAGGAAGACTTTTTTCAAAGCATTGTATTGAATTAAGATTTTTCTTTTTAAACTGGTGAACTGAAATGTGAATAGAGTTGTTGAAAAGGTAATTAAATATTAGGCAGGGCTAGAAATATGTATTTGGAAGTCATCATGTACTTTTTTTTTTGAAATGGAGTCTTACCACTGCTGGAGTGCAGTGGTTTGATCTCTGCTCACTGCAACCTCTGCGTCCTGGGTTCAAACGATTCTCCTGCCTCAGCCTCGCAAGCAGCTGGGATTACAAGCGCACACTATCATGCCTAGCTAATTTTTGTATTTTTAGTAGAGACAAGGTTTCACCATTTTGGCCAGGCTGAACTCCTGACCTCAGGTGATCTGTTTGCCTCCACCTCCCAAAGTGTTGGGACTACAGTCATGAGCCACTGCACCAGGCCATCATCATGTACACTTTTTAAATTGTGGAACTGGAAGAGATTACATAGGGAAGATGTATATGTATATAGAGAAAAGAGAACCTTGGTCCAAGAAAGGTACCAGCATTTATAGATTAGATGGTGGAGTGGCAGCCTACAAAGGAGACAAAGAAAGAAAAAAGGGTGAGATAGGAGGACAACTCAAAGCAGTGTGGAGGCCCAAAGAATGAGTTCATTTATGTTAGAGTCTGGAAATGGCCCTAAAAGCAAACAGCAAAATGAAGACGCATCTGTTCAAGAAAGTCTATGAAAATTTGGTTAGAAAAATGGGAGCCTGTGGTATTTGAGCCAAGATTGTTCCCTTCTTATCCCCTGTCAGCTTAGTGAGGTGGACATTCTTCTCTAGACATCAGTAGTCAAGAACATAGGGCTCCCTCTCTACTAGCTCCCAGCTGGAAAACTCTCTTCCTGGGAAGAGCAGGGCCTCAACATTTCTCCTAATGCCCTCAGCAGACAGTTGCTGAGGTTAATTTTCCAGGTAAGTGAAGTCAGGAGTAGGGACCTCCCATATTGTGCCCAATTCCCATGCAGTGACTGGGTCCTTCAGCATGGCAGGCTTAAAGTAATGGGGCCCCAATTACCTTTGCCTGGGCTTTGAAATAATCATTCTTTGCCAGGAAATAAAAAGTGAAAGTCCTCATCCTTCTACCAAGGGCTCACTTCCTAGAGAGGTTGTTCCCAGAACAAACTGAAGGTTAGGCTGCGATTTCTCACTGCCCAATAACAAGATGCAGATGAACTGGGGAGGAGGAGAATTTTTTATCTAGTTGCAGGGATAAGGCCGGGAAAATAAGTGCCATACCAACTAAAAATTACAGTTTTCCAGAGCTTATATACCTTCTAAGTTCTATGTCTACATGTAAGTGTGCATTTATCTAAAGATATAAGTGATTAACTTAATTTAATCTATAACTAAGTTCTGAGTCTTGAAGACCTTCCTTTGGAGCCTCATTAAATTTACTTAATCTAAATGGCTCCAAGTACTGGGGTGACTACTCTTATCTTGTCTCCTACTAAATCATGGAGGTTTGGGAAGTTCCATCACCTTTAAATTTGTTTGTGGTGGCCTGGAAATTTGTTTAATCCTAAAGGGGTCCCATTAAGAATTCCTTTGTTATCTTGTCATGCTTTAAGGCCCAAGAGAGGCCTAGGCAAAACTCTTGGGCTTTTGTTACATCCCAGCCTTTGTATAAGGGCACTTGCTCT